TATAAACTAATATCTAGGTTAACACAGCGTCATAGTGAATTAACATAAACTGATATCTAGGTCAACACAGCTTCCTACAGAATTAACATAAACTGATATCTAGGTCAACACAGCTTCATAAAGAATTAACATAAACTGATATCTAGGTCAACACAGCTTCCAACAGAATTAACATAAACTGAAATGTTAACCCTTTGGAATATTTTCCCCTCTGGAATGAAAACTCCGATGGAATGTTTACCCTCTAGAATGTTTACCCTCTGAATTGTTTAAACTCTGGAATGTTTACCATCTGGAATGTTTACCCTCTGTAATGTTTACCCTCTGGAATGTTTACCCTCTGGAATGTTTACCCTCTAAAATGTTCACCCTCTGGAATGTGCACCCTCTGGAATGTTCACCCTCTGGAAAGTTCACCCTCTGGAATGTTTACCGTCGGGAATGTTTACCCTCTAGAATGTTCACCCTCTGACCCTGTAGAATATTTACCCTCTGGAATGTTTACCCTCTAGAATATTTACCCTCTAGAATGTTTACCCTCTAGAATGTTTTCTCTCTGGATTGTTTAACCTGTAGAATGTTCACTCTCTGGAATGTTCACCCTCTGGAATGTTTCCCTCCTTTGATTTAACAAATGTTACTAAGCGCTTGTTGTGCGTTTTACTTCCAGAAATAAATTGGAAAGAAACACATGTTTAATGTCAAGGGACGAACAGTTCAGGGTTGTTTCAGATTTTCTTTAATTGATTATTTACCGTTGTACCTTAACAAATATCTATTTCTAATACAAGGAAATCTTCCTTATACAAAGATTGTAACAAAACCTCGATGTTCAATTTAACCTTGAATGTCAATTTCAAATACACAGCCATACAGGAAATCCAATTACAATTGATGGGACCAATTACAATTGATGGGACCAATTTCGATTTGAACATAGTGATTAAGGTAGGAAAGTGTTTATATCCAGGGTCGATATTGTTCGTAAGACTATATTCACCATTGATCAGGATGCCATTTCCTCCCCAGCATTTGCTTTTGTTTGGGGACTGCTGTTCTATATTTATGGAACATATGATTAGCTCAATACTGTACACCAACTTTTTTTCAGAAGCACTCCTTTTAGCGTTTGTTCTTGTACGACTTATGATAGAACATGTATAGTGTCTTTCACTAAGGATCTTGTCACGTTTGTATAGGGGCACAGAGGCTGAATGGTGAGACAGCTGCAACAATAACGTACAACTTAAAGGATGAAATTAACCACTGGACGGGCGAGTGTCGTAGTATGGATGCATATTTGCATATATGTATTTGTCTATGTGCCTTTTTTTTTTGTCTTTGCCGGAACGTTTCATTTGTCATGTGGATGTAGATGAAATCAATATTAACGTTCGTAATGTGATTTCAAATTCAATCAAACGATTACATGTCATTATCAAATTGCGACATCAATTGTTTCTGCTTATTGTGAATACAAAGTTATATAGATGAAAGATTGTAAATTACTTCATACTAGTTATATCATGAAAACTATTTTCAATTTGCATTCTAAAACAATTTAAACAATTTGAAATAGATTCAAAATTCCAATTATATTCCGGGGAAAGTTGCTGCGACAGCAAAAGTCAATACTTGTATGAAGTGGTATGCGGGTCTAGTAGCGTTGGATTTAAGATCCAAAGCTATGTTTATATTGCCGGTTTCATCAATGACATTAAATTATAAATGTCCATGGGAAATGTAGGTCTCAAAATTACGTACCACTATCCTTCGTTTCATCCAGTTTATACAGACAAAGTGTATACATAGTATGGCCACACTAAGATAGTGATATAATATACGATGCAATTTTCTAAAATACCAGGGCTTAGTATCTGTAATTTCAAAAGACCTACATCAATTTCAACAATTTAATACACATATATCAGTACCGTACCCATATATCCCATTGAACTTAATAATTATACTTAAAAGTAAGAAAGGAGCTAAAGACATGTACAATATACTTTGTAAAAACAATGTTATACCAACTGGCAAACAAAAGTGGGAAAATTATACTATCAGTGAGGAGTCATGGAAACAGATCTATAAACTTCCTTTCCGAATCACTAAAAACTCTAAACTACAATGGTTTCAGTACAGGATCAATCATCACATTCTAACTACTAACTCTCTTGTATTTAAAATGGGATTAGTTGAAAATTCATTTTGCTCTTTCTGTAAAACACATCGGGAAACTATTGAACACATTCTATGGGACTGCCAAGAAGTTAAAAGATTGCTTCATAATTTTGAGAGGTTAACCCAAATTTTTCATATCAACTACTCATTGAATAAAAAACAATTTATTTTTGGTATAATTTGTGCAGACGAACCAGATGCGGAAGTTGACAATTTAATAAACTTGGTAATTAAATATTATATTTATAAAACAAAATGTTTTAAAAATAAACTATCTATATTAGCACTTCTCAATGTAATTAAGGAAACATACAAAGTACAAAAACACATTTCAAATAGTAAATATGAGTCAGATAGGTTTATAGGATATTGGAGAAAATGGTCCCCATTGATGGGGACACCCTGACAATATGCCATATTATATGCACAATAACAGTTATTTTTTTTTTTTTTTTATTCATAAGTATGTTTTGTACAAAATCAAATATCTATAGAGACCATTTCTTTCCTTAATCTTCTTTATTACACAACCGGAGAATAGACAATTTTTGCACATAATTTATATTTATTTATGTTAGTGTTGTCTCATGTTTTCAAATGTATGTTTGTGTGCAAATTTGTTTATTTATGTTATAATTTTTGTGTAGATGAATGTATATATATATGTGTGTGTATGTTTGTATACATGTTATTATATGTACATGTAGTGTGTAAGTAAGTGTTCGTCCTTTATGTTAGGTTCAAATGTTTTAGTACCTCAACTAAATTTACTAAATTTATGAAATATGATGAAAGAAAGTGACAGAAAGATGAATGTTGAACGAAAACCCTCCTATGAGAGGACAAAACATTGTAAAGGGGGAAGATCCCAGGGCTCCTCAACCCTGGCTTCCTCCGTAAACACTTGCCGAGGAAATAAAATATTTGAACCTGAAAAAAAAAGATAGTGTAGACACATCTTAGAACACGTTTATGGATTTATGCGTTTCTTATAATTGTCATACGATTGCATATACATATTGGTTTTTACTCTAAGAATTATAAAATGAAATTATTGTTTAAATGTACTTTTGAGGTTCAAATATATTTAATATAAAGGGGCAATTTGAGAGATAGACAAACTTTACCTAATTGTCGTATGGGCGAGACTCCACAGACACACTTAGGTCAGCTGAGTCACCTGAATCTAGTTGGACGAAACTTACCCGTATTGTTGCATGGTTAAGCATCTCTTGCCATGCTGAGGTCAGCTGAACCTCCCCGCCCTGTAACAGGCGTTCCTCGGCTAGAGCCACTGTTTCCTTGGCAGCCCGGTAAATCCCAATGGCGGACTGGTACTGACGTGCTGACTTTAACGACTCGCTTTGTACCTGTAAACCGGCGAGGAAGAATATCACCATGTAGTCTGGCAGGCGCAATAATGGCAATACAAACTCAACTGAGCACTTCGTTCACAATCTCAACAATTAAAGACCTGGCGTGTTTTTGTCTTATGCTGTTAGGATATGGATGTTTAAATAAAGATGCAAATGATTTACCTTCATACAAAACAACACATTGACGAGAAAATATGCTGTCGTCTTTACCTCACAATCAGAACATTACAAAAAATGTCTCGAAATATCTTGTGAAAGATCAATTTCATCGTCGCTTTGACGAAAACGTATACAAACCTTTTTCGCCTCTTCCCTTAATTCATAATATTCTCGTGCTTTCTGAATGCTCTTTTTCTTGTCTTTGGAGATCAGCGCCATTTTGTGAGAAGCGTCAGCAAACGTCATTCGATATTTAGCCCTGGCTTCCTGCAATGTCACACAAGGGAGAAAATCTCAGACACACACAAGGGAGATAAACCTCAGACACACACAATGGAGATAAACCTCAAACACATACAAGGAAAATAAACTTTAGACACACACAAGGGAGATAAACCTCAGACACACACAAGGGAGATAAACCTCAGACACACACAATGGAGATAAACCTCAGACACATACAAGGAAAATAAACTTTAGACACACACAAGGGAGATAAACCCCAGACACACACAAGGGAGATAAACCTCAGACACTGCAAGGGAGATAAACCTCAGACACACACAAGGGAGATAAACCTCAGACACACACCTATAAAATGTGGTTATACATATAGTATGCCTAAACTGAATTGCACTGTACCATACTGCTGGTCCTTCTAATTGTTTTCTACATTTGGGTTAAACAAATGTGTCAATGAATAGAATGTAGGTTTGATTAACAATCAAGTGATTTGATACACAACAAAAGGAACAGCTCCAAGGAGGATGTGTTTAGTCGACGTCGATTCGCTTTGTCTGCATTAACGCGTTTAGGAACCGTCTTTGTTCTGACATTCAATACATGCTTAATCATGAGGGTTCTATATATCTGCGATTTGTCACCGTTATCAATTGACGAGCTGCAAATCGTCTTAACAATTACAACACTCCTCACCATAGAGTCTCCTGCACGAGTAACCAGATCGTTTAAGCTTTTCGTAGAAAGAACAGTGGCGTCTGCATGTATGCATCTCAGCGCTGTCTGTGTGACGTAAAACAATAGACGTAGAATTATATACGGATGTGAGACAGTTTTCTTTAGCGATACGATGATATAGCTTTAACCTCACTTGCAGAGCGTAATAATTTCACACCTAAACTAAGATAAATATTTGCAAAAGGTACTTGTTGTAGAGGTTGATTTGTAGTGGGTGCGAAACATTACTAGCAAGATGTCCAGCCTATGTAACCTTAAAATAAACTTTGTACGTATTGTAACTTGTCCTGATCAGGTACTGACATATGTCATGGGTAAACATGAATAATGCTTTGTTGTTGCTCTGGGACATATTGCATTACACATATTTGATATAGTTCAGCGACATATACAAACATGAATATAAATCGGCTTTCGCGGGCATCACAACATCCGGGTACTTTATACCGATACCCACCCGATAGAACACTCGAAGTGTTGTAATTCCAATAACACTTCGCGGACACTAATTTCCAAACAAACATCTTTATCGATAGTAAAATGTCCTACAGGAATAACTCCATAGCAACGTATTCTAGTATAAGTCTACTTCTATGCTCATTAACGTATTCTAGTATAAGTCTACTTCTATGCTCATTAACGTATTCTATTATAAGTCTACTTCTATGCTCATTAACGTTTTCTAGTATAAGTCTACTTCTATGTTCATTAACGTATTCTATTATAAGTCTACTTCTATGCTCATTAACGTATTCTATTATAAGTCTACTTCTATGCTCATTAACGTATTCTAGTATAAGTCTACTTCTATGCTCATTAACGTATTCTAGTGTAAGTCTACTTCTATGCTCAATAACGTATTCTATTATAAGTCCACTTCTATGCTCATTAACGTATTCTAGTATAAGTCTACTTCTATGCGCATTAACGTATTCTAGTGTAAGGCTACTTCTATGCTCATTCGCGTATTCTATTATAAGTCCACTTCTATGCTAATTAACGTATTCTAGTATAAGTCCACTTCTATGCTCATTAACGTATTCTATTATAAGTCTACTTCTATGCTCATTAGCGTATTCTATTATAAGTCTACTTCTATGCTCATTTACCATTGGCTAAGAATCTCGATGATACAAAATCATTGTATAAAAATTGCGCAATCATTAGATAAAGTGTAAGCCTACATCGCTCTCTGACATAAATATTAGTGCTAATCCGGCACCAGATGTCTGTTAATTGACATTATCGTAGTGTTTAAAACAACCTTATCTTGTGTTACCTTATCATTAATTATCATTAAGCACGTGAAAAGTATCGTAAAAACACTCTATGTGAAAGCTCGCATCTCATTTGTGCATCCAATTGTGAAACGGACCAATGAAAAACACGCTCTCAACTCAAATTCGGGAGATGCCCCCTTTGTGGTATACGTCATTCCGTTATGTATATGGGCCTGATAGTTAAAGGCAAATGTTATGGCATCCTCAACTGATGTCCAAGAGCATTTCTTCTTGGATCCATTTTTGGTTTCAGTGAGCTCGAGCTCTTTCTCCGCCATTATTGTGTCGTCTGCCAACATGACACAATGCGCGTACGATCACGCGATGCGCAAAATAGACTCCAAACATTAGAGAGTTCACCTGGTTACCGAACTCAGCAGAGAACGTTCTCAGAAATTTTCATGAATACGAAATATGAGTACGTTTTCACCGGAGCACAGACTTGAGCACGACAACAAAAGTTTAGTATATGGTCGGGTATACGGGCTCTCGGTGACATTTTTTTATCACAAAAACTACCAATGATTGTGATGTTTCTGTTTGTAATATCTCACTAAAGTTGAATGGCGACATATATGTACAAGAGGCCCAGAGAGCCTTATCGCTCACCTGGGTGTCTTAGCAACTATGGCAAAATAATTGAGGTACCCTTACAGAAATAACCCCAGAGATTGGTGGGAGTTAACACGTATAAATAACGAGATGATTAGTTACCATACATGTACAGCTGTGTCTCTAACAGCGACTAATAGATGTACCCTTACAGCGATAACCCCAGAGATTGGTGGGAGTCAACACGTGTAAATAACAAGATGATTAGTTACCCTACAGCTGTGCCTCTAACAGCGACTAATTGATGTACCCTTACAGAGATAACCCCAGAGATTGGTGGGAGCTAACACGTATAAATAACGAGATGATTAGTTACCATACATATACAGCTGTGCCTCTAACAACGACTAATTGATGTACCCTTACAGAGAAAAGCCAAGAGATTGGTGGGAGTTAACACGTGTAAATAACGAGATGATTAGTTACAATACATGTACAGCTGTGCCTCTACCGGCGACTAATTGATGTACCCTTACACAGATAACCCCAGAGATTGGTGGGAGTTAGCACGTGTAAAAAACGAGATGATTAGTTACCATACAGCTGTGCCTCTAACAGCGACTAATTGATGTACCCTTACATAGATAACACCAGAGATTGGTGGGAGTTAACACGTATAAATAACAAGATGATTAGTTACCATACATGTACAGCTGTGCCTCTAACAACGACTAATTTCTGTACCCTTACAGCGATAAGCCCAGAGATTGGTGGGAGTTAACAAGTGTAAATAACGAGATGATAAGTTACCATACAGCTGTGCCTCTAACGGCGACTGATTGATGTACCTTTACAGAGATAACCCCAGAGATTGGTGGGAGTTAACACGTGTAAATAACCAGATGATTAGTTGCCATACAGATGCGCCTCTAACAGCGACTAATTGATGTACCCTTACAGTGAAAAGCCCAGAGATTGGTGGGAGTTAACACGTGGTTAAATAACGAGATGATTAGTTACCATACATGTACAGCTGTGCCTCTAACAGCGGCTAATTGATGTACCCTTACAGAAATAACCCGTGAGATTGGTGAGAGTTAACACGTATAAATAACGAGATGATTAGTTACCATACAGCTGTGCCTCTATCAGCGACTAATTGATGTACCCTTACAGCGATAACCCAAGAGATTGGTGGGAGTTAACACGTATAAATAACGAGATGATTAGTTACCATACATGTACAGCTGTGCCTCTAACAGCGGCTAATTGATGTACCCTTACAGAAATACCCCGTGAGATTGGTGAGAGTTAACACGTATAAATAACGAGATGATTAGTTACCATACATGTACAGTTGTGCCTATAACAACGACTAATTGATGTACACTTACAGCGAAAACCCCAGAGATTGGTTAGAGTTAACACGTGTAAATAACAAGATGATTAGTTACCATCCAGCTGTGCCTCTAACGGCGACTAATTGATGAACCCTTACAGAAATAACCCCATAGATTGTTGGGGGTTAACACGTATAAATAACGAGATGATTAGTTCCCATACATGTACAGCAGTGCCTCTAACGCCGACCAATTGATGTACCCTAACAGAAATAACACCAGAGATTGGTGGGCGTTAACACGTGTAAATAACGAGATGATAGTTACCATACATGTACAGCTGTGCCTATAACAACGACTAATTGATGTACCCTTACAGAAATAACCCGTGAGATTGGTGAGAGTTAACACGTATAAATAACGAGATGATCCCCAGAGATTGGTGGGAGTTAAGACGTGTAAATAACGAGATGATGAGTTACCATACATGTACAGCTGTGCCTATAACAACGACTAATTGATGTACCCTTACAGAAATAACCGCAGAGATTGGTGGGAGTTAACACGGGTAAATAACGAGATGATTAGTTACCATACATGTACAGCAGTGCCTCTAACGCCGACTAATTGATGTACCCTAACAGAAATAACCCCAGAGATTGGTGGGAGTTAACACGTGTAAATAACGAGATGATGAGTTACCACACAGCTGTGCCTCTAACAGCGACTAATTGATGTAACCTTACAGAGATAACCCCACATATTGGGGGGAGTTAACACGTATAAATAACGATATGATTAGTTACCATACATGTACAGATGTGCCTCTAACAACGACCAACTGATGTACCCTTACAGCGATAACCCCAGAGATTGGTGGGGGTGAACACGTATAAATAACGAGATGATTAGTTACCATACATGTACAGATGTGCCTCTAACAACGACCAACTGATGTACCCTTACAGCGATAACCCCAGCGATTGGTGGGAGTTAACACGTGTAAATAACGAAATGATTAGTTACCATACATGTACAGCTGTGCCTCAAACAGCGACTAATTGATGTACCCATAAAGAAATAACCCCAGAGATTGGTGGGAGTTAACAGTGCAAATAACGAGATGATTAGTTACCATACATGAACAGCTGTGCCTCTAACAACGACTAATTGATGTACCCTTACAGCGAAAAGCCAAGAGATTAGTGGGAGTTAACATGTGTAAATAACGAGATGATTAGTTACCATAC